ATGGTGCTCCTTTAGTCTGCTGTTTAAAGAAGTGCTCAGTTATCTTTCTAGCTCCAATTTCTCTACATTTCCTGCTTCCTGTTTCTGCCAGCCCTGGTTCCCTCCCAGCAGCCCTCAGCAATCCTAGCATACTGTGAAGTTCCAGGGGAGGAGGGGAGCATGAAAAATAGCAATAAACCTGTATTTTATAGTCAACTGTTTAGGTACAAGTTCTGATATAGTAAAATTTTACTAATTTAAATTTCAAAGGGCCAAAAAATGTCATTGAATTAAAGATATTCAAATTATCTGTTATTCTTCAGCCTACAGGGTGTCAACTCTACAAGCTTAAATTTTAGTAGTTCCTCAGGGGGATTCACTGGGACCAAGAAAAAACCTTAAGTTTGGGGTATCTGTCTAATTCTTCAACAAAATTGTGATGGAAGAGAACAAATTTCTTTGTCCTTCCTTTCCTTTCTTAGTCACTGGTCCCACTTTTCAAAACTCCAGCCCCATGACCTTTGCATAGTCTACTGTCTCTGGACTGTAAGCATCTTGAGGCAATGAACCACTGCTTACTTGTCTTTTAATGTCTAGAACCTGCCTGAAGTATAATAGGCAGCCACATGTTGAACTGACTGACTTGAGCACGGCTGCACTTACCGAAGGAATCCCTTCCTCCTCCCCCTTCCAGTCTTCCTCTCCTCAGTTAGTTGTCACCCTGCTACCCTAATGCAGCGGAAAGCATGGCAACAGCTGAATGTGAAATAAATGTACATTTTACATTATGAAGTACATTTAAAGAGGTTTATTTTAGTGGTGTAAAGCCAGGCAGTATTTTAAGAAGATCAGGAAGACATTTTTGGGGCAGCTGGACTTTCCTAACACCTTCACATCACACCACACAAACTGAAGCTTATCTCTCCTATAAATAAAGGCTACTTGACTTTCATTGTTACACATTTTACTTTAGATTTCTTAGGTTAACTGTCGACAGCCTCTATTCTACATATAGGTATATTAATTATCCTGCCTAAGTTATTTCTTAAAAGGTACTATTTGTCTTAATCTTAGAAAGTGAGTAATTGTCCCACTTTTCTCTTTTACTTCCAGGCCAGACTAATGATTCAATACCTTGATCACTCACTGCCTTTTGAATTCCTGAAATCTACTTTTTACTTCCTCTAATTCATTTACATGCTTCCTCTAGGAAATTGGAAGGAATCCAAAGGATTAATTCTAGATCAACTTCTCATTTTGTGAAAGAGGAAATTGAAGAACAGAAATGTGTAGTGGCAGAATCTCCAGTTCCCAAAGCATTCATCCCATGCTCCATCCTCTTAATATGTGTCTTTAAAACAGCTAAAGTGAACTTTCCATTGTCAGCTCCCCACCTGACTTCCCTGTTTATGCCAATCACCACCATCCATTGGGTTCTTTAGGATTAAAATTGGTGATCTTTGATGACTGCCTTCTCTTTAGACCTCTACTTCCACTTCAGGATGTCTCTCTTACTTGTCTTTTTTGTCTGAATTTTCCCCATTGTTCAGGGCATTTTCTCTTTACAACCGTTATTACAATAGGTTGCTAATAGTTTCACTGTCTTCAAACTCTTTCTGTCATAGAGTGAACCTAGCAGAATAACTAACAATATAAGTCAAACAATTTTATAGTTATAGTAAGATGGTGCCGTTTTGCCATATAAAATCAAATTCAGCATGCTTTCAGACTATCAATAAAATATGAATTTTTTGTCAAGCCTTTCTGGTTCTGAAATATATAGCAATAACTAACTGTGTGATCTTGGGCACATTTAAGTTCTATGAACTGCAATGTCCTCAGTCTGTTAACTGGTGATATTATTAGTATATATGCCTAACTCAAAGGCTTGTTTGAAAATTAAATGGGATAACGAATGTAAAGTACTTAATAGTAATAGTTGTAATAACTATTTACTATTGACCAAACATTAGTCTAAGCTGTTTAAATGAATTATGTCACATCAACCCTATAATGTATATACCATTATTATAGCTAGATGAGAAAACTGAGGCCCAGAGAAGTTAAAAAACTTGCCTAAGGTCAACTAGCTAAGAAGTGGCTAAACCAGGATTCATACACCAGTCTGTTACATGGGAATAACTTAGTACAGTACACAGTACTAAGTTAATTTGTTATTTATTATCATTAATATCACTTTAAAGAGAGGAGAAAACCTTTTTATCCGCTTTCCTTGAAGATTTGTTTCTGAAGTTGAGCCTTAGCATCACTTTTGGAAGACACGGATAATTCTTAATAATTAAATGTGCTGAGTACCACTTGTTTCTGCTTCCCAAAGAGAGGCAGGAAGGATGGTTAGGGGTTCTTGCATTGCTTGGACCCTGTAATCACCCTGGTCCTCCCCATCTCCACTTTGCCTTTCATAATATCCTTAATATTATAAAATGGGAATGACACAGGCGATCTCTGACTCAGGCGTAGTTCATAGTGACAGGCCAAAGATTTATTCTCTGATTGTCCCTTACAGTTTCTTTAAAGCTTTCTCATGGATAGAACCAGAAGATTCTCTGTGTGTAGCTCTACTTGTTCTACCTCAGATATTTCTTCCTCAGAAGACAATTTTAAGAAAGGGAATCTCCCCAGTGGCTTCCCAGCAAATAATTATTTTGGTTTCTACTATAGTTATTTTATTTCTTGCCTTAGGGTATCATTTATACCATGGTCATCAAATGGTCTTATCTAACCATCTTCTGCCTGTTGATGATACTAAAAATAGAACAAAATGCCTTACTACTAGTTTTGAAGTTCCTTTCCAGGTACCCATGAATTATTATATTTCTGCCTTGTGTATGGCACACCATACCCTCTCTGTTCCTTTCCTTTCCTCAACGTTGTATTTTCCCCCGAGCATCTAGCTGTTCATATTTGAACATCTAGTCTTTTGGATTTAAGCAAAAATTGACCTTGGCCTTCTAATATGAGATTTTTATAGATCTTAGACTCATAAGACGCTAACCCTGGAAGGACTTTTATAGACAACAGAGGCCAACAGATTCTTTTTCTAGTGAGGAACCAAGACCCAGTGAAGCCAAGGGTCAGATGCAACCCTACAAAGCCTAAGATGGGAGGAAGCCAGAACCAGACCCAAGACATCTGCTCCATTTGTTTCTTATGAGTTGGAGTAGGATACCTGGAAATAATGAGAAATTCACAAGGGTCTTCTCCCCAAATGTTTTAAGTTTTTGTATCAGTGGTTTTCTTAATACATATTCAGGAGACCTAGAGGAATAGGAATTCCATGATCTAAAACACTGAGGCATAAAGAGACAAGAATTATAGAGCTGGGACTGTGTCACTTAAGGATCATCTTTCTTTCCCAGTGGTACTTCGTACAGTGCCTTCAACTCAGCCAACCCTCAACAATGTTGATGACAATGATGGTTAAGGATGACTATGTCTCATATTTCTCTGTTCTCAGTCCTTTTCTGCCATTTTGTTCTCCATAGCCCCAGCTATTTCTGGGTTTTAAGCCTTCTAGAAACTTGCCTCATCTAGTTTGGAGTTTAATGAGGGCATTGGGTGTGTATTCTGTAGTTGCATTTCATAATTATCACGATGGTAATAACTTCAAATGATTAGGGATCTACCCCCAAGCACACACATACATTTTGAAAGCTTTTTAAACTGGAGGAAGTATGTTCCTAATATGTAACCATTTATTGCAAAAAAGAAACATTCTCTGGTTAGATAATCAGAGAAATACTGGATGAAACAAAATTAAACAGTTTAATGTTGATTTGTTTTTATAGGAATTTTCAGGATCTTTAGAACACTAATGTGAATCCTCAATTTCTAAGGGGGGGGGCAGGGTGATAAAATATGTAGAATTCCCCAAACATCTTTGATCATAAAATCATTTACTCATTGAACATCTTTCTAATGGGACTGTTTCAAATGATCCGATACCTTTCCCTAGGGCTTGTTTCCTTCTGTGTAATGACTAAGTCAGTGCCTCTTCTCATTATTTATCATTTCAGGACATATGCTGTTATTTTCAGCCCGAATTTCTGTTATTTTTCATCCCAATTTTCTCTAATCATAAGCTGTTTAACTCTGACCTCATATGTGAGCTGCTCATTTCCCATAATCATCTCAGCTCTCCTGTTCTAATCTACAGTTTTCAAGGTGTGCAGAATCAAAAAACTTAACAATAATTACAGTGATGACAACTAACATTTATTGAGTTTGTACTGTGGTCCAGACATTGAGCTAACACATGTTGTAACATCCTTCTTAATCGTCACCACAATGCTATAAGGTCGTTATTGTTAATATTTTCACTTTACACATGAGGAACCTGAAGAGAGCTTATGTAACTTTCCCCAAGAAGGTTGCATGTGGAAGAACTGGAGCTGGATTTTTAACCTGACTGTGTTCAACTTTTACCTAATACCTAGCATTGCCCTTCCAGTGCTAGTTCTTTTTTTTTTTTTTTTAAATAAAAATGTGCTGCCTCTCCAAGCAGAATCCTTTAGAAGCAAAGGGCCCATGGTCCAGCCTTCAGTTCACGCTTCTGTGCTTGGCACAGCACTTGCCATGCTGTAGCCAATACTCCTTTGAAAAGAGAGATTAAGCAACTTGCCAAAACCATTAAGGTAGTAAATGATAGACCCATGTTTGGAACACATAACCACACTCATCACATCCTCTCATGGAGTTCTCATCAGCACCACACTCAGTGCACCAGGTGAGTCCCCTTTCTTTTTCGAGGTCACCCACACTTGGCTTCTGAGCATCCCAAACAGGAAGTTTTGTCCACACCTACCCCCACGTTCATTTTCCACTCTCCTTATAACAGACAGCGGTCCTAAACCTAGTGAACTAAATGTACTGGTAAATGGCTAATGGGCTAATGGCACTTTGGTGGTTGTCTTTTGGTAATTTTATTGTTAGGAAGATGTTCTAAACCCCAGCACTTTCATTTGGGAGCTTTTCCAGAGGTTGAAATCTCTCAATTTACAATCAAAACGTCAGGGCGGCAGCGAGATGGTGCAGCCAGGTCATGCAGGTAGTGGTGCGCCCCCGCCACCCCGCGGGACCGTTAGTCCCACGCGCTGGCCACGTGCGCGACCCCGTGGTAGCGTTGGAGGCACCACACAGCATTTTAGGAAGGCGGGCCATCAAAGGGTCTTCATGAGAGAAACGTGGCTGCCTCCCCTCGGGTGCCAATCTGTGGTGGAGGCTGGCTCCCCGCAGAGAACGACCACAATCCGCTGGGTCTTGCACGGCTGGACGCCGCCTGGGCAAGGCTTTAGTGACCGTCTTTCCCTTCGTGACCTTGGCCTCTGTGACAGGCAGGCCCGGCAGCTGTCCCGACGTCCCGGCCAGATGGAGCCTGTTTTCCTTCCTCTAAACTTCATCATGTCAGGTTCGAAGCAAACTGCGGAGAAGCCCCACGAGAAGGCCTGGACATCTCCCTACCCTGGCTCCAAGGTGGAGCGAAGCTCAGTTCTCGATGAGAAAGTGAGCTGACTGGCTGAGTGGTGAGAGTACACGCCCGTGGAATACACTGTCAGCTCTGTCTTGGCCGGGCCCGTGTGGGCAGACCCCCAGGTGGGTGAAAGGAACTTCTCTCCTAAGTTTAACGAAAAGGATGGGCATGTGGAGAGAAGGAGCCAGCATGGCCTGTATCAGATTGAGAAGGGAAGACCCAGAAATCCTGCAAGTCGGACAGCATTGGTTGGCAAAGGGCTTTTGGGGCGTTGGGGCCCCAATCATGCTGCAGATCCCATCTTAACCAGGTGGAAAAGGGATAGCAAGGGAAGTGAAATTACCCACCCTATTTCTGGGGAAAATATGGTGCAATTTGTAGCCATCAAAAGAAAGGACTGTGGAGAATGGGCAATCCCAGGGCGGATGGTGGATCCAGGACAGAAAATTAGTACTACTTGAAGAGAGAATTTGGTGAGGAAGCCATGAACTCTCTACAGAAATCTAGGGGAGAAGTGCAGGAGTAGGAGAGACAATTTCACAAACTCTTCAGGAACATTTTGTTATCTGTAACGGCTATGGGGACGATCCTTGGAACACAGATAACTCATGGATAGAGACAGAGGCTGTGAACTACCATGATGAAACTGGTGAAATAATGGGCCACCCTCCACTGGAAGCTGGCGATGATGCCAAGAAAGTGAAATGAGTGGACATGAATGATAAACTCGAGCTTTATGCCAGCCACTCCCAATTTATTCAGCTTGTGGCTGAGACACAAGGTGCCCACTAGAGTGAAGACATGTATGCTGATTGCCAGGGATAGTGGCTTGGAGTATCATATGAGCCAAAGGCCTTCAAATGATCAAGAGTGGATAAGAGGCAAACAGCACAGAAGACAGAGGGACACCCCTTTGGTGATTATTTCCAAAACTGTGCTGTATAAAGGCTTTGTATCAGGGAATAATATTAGACAAATATGGGGAAATGGGATCACAGAATTTTTGGCTTTCCTGTTAGAAGAAGAATATACTCATATGCTGTATATATTGTATACATGGGTTAAACTAAGTTGTACAATTACTGCTCTTTGGAGAACTGTAGGAAAAACAATGACATCTTCCTTAATAACCATAGGCTCTACTTTTCATCCCGTTTGTATTTGTCAGTTCTTCCTCCTGATGTTTTAATGTGGCTTAATCTAATGTATAATCTGACTTTTGAGTTAACATTTATTTTTTAAATGTAGCTTTGTGTGGTCTTGCATTCCTTGCTTTTGAGTATGGAAGCTCTCTGGTTTTTCTTTTTTTTTTTTTTTTAGAGCTACAGTTTTACGGGAAAAGTTCAATCTCTATTTTGGTCCACAAGGATCAAGTGCTTATGAACCAGACAAAAAAAAAAAAATGCAGTGACAAAATGAGCTTAGATCCAGCCCTCTGGTTATCAGAACCCTTTCTGTCTGAACAGAATAAACTAAGCTGAAGATACTGGTTTCTTCTCATCTCAGAAGAAGATCCTACAAATGTCGATTCTTGTCATGCAGATGCCTTTATTGGGACATGTATGTAATCCAAGCCAAATGAAAATACAATAATCACACCTACCTTTTCTCAGTTAAAACAAAAATCCAATATATAAACAGAGAAGATACTTATAGTCAGGTTTCAAACACAGAGACAGCCTCTCTGGCAAGAATGAGGGGATTTCAATAGCAACAAATAGGTCAGAAACCTGTTTTCCTCTTTTGTTTCTCATCGCCTAAAACAAGCCAGTTAAATTTATTTGCAACATATGGAAAATTAACTCAAACCACTATAATGAGCCTTTTATGACTGAGGGAAAAATAGACAATTGCAGGAGTTGATAGCTACATAAGAAGATCACTTCAATAATAGCCGACACTTAAATTCCTCTTACTATGTACAAGCACCTTTTCACATGCTTTATGTATGGTGACTTATTGATTCCTAAGGATCACCCTATAAGGAAGGTACCCTTCTGTTGCAGGTCAGGTTCACTGGAAAGCAGACTCCAAGAGGGAGATTAGATTACAAGATGTTTACCAGGGAGTGGTCTTGGGATCAATACTTGGGAAAAGAAAGAGAAGAAAGCAGGATTCAGCAAAATGAGCAGTTGAGCTGGAATACAGGCCCAGTGGAAGCCTCATCCAACTCCATCTGGAACTCCGGAGCTGGGAAGGCCTTTCTAGCTTTCTTTAATTGGAGTGATGGGGTCAGGCCTTTATCCCCTGTGTTGATCAGCCATTGGATATAGCTGACCCTGGAAGGAGGCATGACCTCGAGGGAGAAAATTTCTTCAGCCAAGACAATCTCCAAGAGGACTGACAGCTAAGGGCCATCTTCTGGCAATATTCCCAGACACTGAGAAGTGGAATCTGGAAGAAGGGGGTGTGGGGTGCATTGCAGGGTCTACCACATATTATTATCTCGGTTTATGGATTATATAACTGAGGCACAGAGAGGTTACAGAACTTGAATAAAGTTATACAACCAGTAAGTGGTGGAGATAAGAGTAGAGCATAGATCACTGGGCTCCACATTCCACACCCTTGACCACAATACCAGTCTCTTGATAATTACCCTCCTACAGCTGCTGGATTCCCTGTGCACTGTTCTTTTAAAGAAAAAAAGAAGTTGTCATACCATTATATCTCTTCCTACATGCACATTTGATCAGAGTTCCCTTTTCTAAATTTGAAGGACGGTTGCATGATTTTATTTTTCTTTTGAAAAATGTTGTATTTATGGGGGTGATGACAGTTGTGAAAAGTTCACCTATGGATACTCATCGTTGTTCACACCCAGGAACAAATTTAATACATCACTTTTACTTGAGCATTCTACAACTGCTTCTTTTTAGGATGGTGCCCTTTGTCCTCTATATTAGTCTCCTCTCAATCACTTTTCCAGGTGAGATATACCTTCTGTCTTTATTTAAATAATTTAAGCACCCGGTTTGCCTAGCGTTTTCTGAATGTTCCTGAAACCTACTTCATTTTTATCCTAAAATGTAAAATTCCTTAAATACATTTACATATATTTACTACTCAATTATTGCAAAAACATAAAATAATGTTCTTTAAAAAGTAACAAATTTAATATATCCAGAACAGAATTGTTGATTTTTTCACCCAGAAAACTGTTCCTCCATCACTCTTCCCTGGTAAGTGGCACCAAAATCCACTCAAATTGGACAAGAAAACAATTATCCTAGATTCCTTGCTTTCCCTGTACCAACATGTCCAGCCCATCTGTAAAATTTACTCAGCTCTACCTCCAATAAAATACATCCAGGGTCAGTTGCTGCTCTGCCACTTCACTTACCACCCTAGAAAAGCCACCAACTCTCCTTCTCTAAACTCCAGCAATGGCCTCCCAACAGGCCTTACTTCTGCTCCCCTCCTCCTCCTGCAGGTCATTTCCCCCAAAAAATGAAATGACATTTTAAAAAATGCCAGTCACATCTTGTCCCACCCTCCATTTTTTTTTTTTGAGATGGAGTTTTGCTCTTGTTGCCCAGGCTGGAGTACAATGGCACGATCTCGATTCACCACAACCTCTGCCTCTTGGATTCAAGTGATTCTCCTGCCTTGGCCTCCCAAGTAGCTGGGATTATAGGCATGTGCCACCATGCCCAGCTAATTTTGTATTTTTAGTAGTAGAGATGGGGTTTCTTCATATTGGTCAGTCTGGTCTCTAACTCCCGACCTTCCACCTGCCTCGGCCTCCCAAAATGCTGGGATTACAGGCATGAGCCACTGCACCTGGCCTCCCACCATCTTAAAACCACTGGATCACTTCCTTTTGTACATAAAATGCAAACTCCTGACACTAGGTACTTGTTCTGGACAATGCATACTGCTCCAGTCTCACTTGGAAAGCTAGTTAACATTCCACTTTTGACTAGGCTGGCCTTCCTCTTCTGAACGTACTTCATGCTTGCTTCTGCCCCAAGGCCTTTGCTTTGCTTTTCCCTGCCAAAAATGTCCTTCCTACACAAAATCAGTTCCTTAGGTCATTCAGGTCTCATTCATTTAACAGCCCCTCAAAGAGAGATGTCCGGACCACTTCAGCTAAAGTGACCCATGTAGTCTGTTCCTACTGCCTTGCCATGATTTACTTTCTACACAGTATTTAATACTAGCTCAAATTATCTTCCATATGTTCTGTTTACCTTATGAAGAAGAGAGCCTTGCATAAGAGCGAGGATTTTTCTGTCTCATTGACTACTGTAGCACTACTACCAAAATAGTCTCTGGGATATCAACAAATTATTTGTGGAAAATAGCTGCTGTTAACATTTTTCAATATACTCTTTCCCCCTTTTTAAAAAAGTATAAATGTGACTTAAGTTAAAAATTTTTTATTTAGATTTTGAAAAACGTTGCAGAACAGTACACATAATTCCTGTACAGCCCTTAGCCCAGCTTCTGCAAATGTTGACAACTTATTTATTTGTAGTAGTATTATTGAAGCTAGAAAATGAACATTGATTTAATACTTTTTACTATTAATTAACCTACAGATCTAATTCGAAATTTTCCAATCATTCCACTAATGTTCCTTTTCTATTCCAAAATCCAATGGTTCCACATTTCATTTATGTCTTTTATTGTATCTCTTTTATTTTCTCCAATCTTGGAAAGTTCCTAAATCTTTTTTGTTTTTCAGAAACTTGTCACTTTCGAGAGTACTGGTCAGCTTTTTAGTAGACTGTCCCTCTACTGACATTTTCTCATGGATAAATTGAAGTTATACATTTTTTGGCAGATGTGATTTGCTTGGGTAGTATATTTAAGAAATTAAGGTGAATTTTTTTTAGCATAATCAATACTAGACAGTAAATAGGATATGCTATATATTTTTATGTCACTGTGGAATTTCCAATCACCTTATATTACTTTTGACCCACATTTTTACATTTTTCTGCATATACACATTATATTTAACTTTCCAAACCTTCTCTATAAAGGACTTGAGGTCTAGGAAGTGCTAAATTTCATTACCTATCCTCTCTATTCTCTTTCTTCAAGTTCCTGAGATGACAATGAATGTTGTGTTATCCTGCTGTATCAGTTACCTATTTTCACACAAATACTTCAATCCCAAAACACACTGGCTTGAAACAACAAACATGTAATTAGTCTGTCAGTTTAAAGTTTGACAATTAGGGTTTGACTGGGTGGTTTTTCTGGTTACTGCGGGGCTCATTCCCATGTTTGGGAATTGGGTGGCTATTGGCTGATCTAGGATGACCTTAGTTGGGATGATTGAAGAGACTTCTCTGTGTCTCATCTCCCATTTTCTGTCAGATTAATCCAGGGATGATCTCATGGCAATGGCAGAGTAGCAAAGGTCAAATGACAATATACAAGCATTCTTAAGTCCCAGGCTTGGAATCGACATCGTCATTTTCCCTGGACTCTATCAGACAAAGCAAATGACAACATCAACCTAGATTCAATGAATAGGGAAATGACTCCATGATATAGTTTAGATATCTGTGTCTCCAA